AAAACCATTAATATCAGGTTTACTTAACTTAATCTACTTCCATTAACTCTATTTAAGTTAATGGGTTCGGGCCTATAACTTTTATAGACCGAAAATGATCATGAACAATCAAACCCTAACCTTTACCATCAAGAAAATGAAAGAAGAAAGGAATACTTAAGTAAGGAAGCTTACCTTTAGTATTTAGAAGCTTCAAAATACTTTCAATAATCAGTTCTCTTAAGCCCTAGCACTGCTCCTTCATTCTCTTCATTTTTCTCTTCCTCTTCTCTGTTGATTTCGCACAAATACGAAGTTGATATATCAAAATTTTGATTGTGCACTGCGACACATGTTGCCTTCCACCACAGCACATGGCATAGAGGAGCCCATTAGATTCAAAAACTGCCTTTGTGTGTTGTGGCAGACTAACCATGCACCGCAGCATGCAGAGAGCATTGCTTTGCTTTTTCTCTCTCTTTCCTTACCCGGGTGGCCCGCCATCAATCCGAACTCATTTTTAGGGCTAAATCCACAATAATTACACAAGTTAAGTCCCTTTAGCCACACGCCTCACTAATACACTTAATTAGTCTATTTGAACTTAATTAATCTTGATTTAAAATTGAAGATATTACATAAACTGCCAAATCAATTTGATAATATATTACAAAATATAATACATATATTATAGTTTTTATTTTCAAACATTAACGTGAGTTGATGTTAATCATTGGTATATTGTTATTCATATTCAAACAATTATTTATAAATATGTGAACATGATTTGTTAATGCATAAAAAAATTGTAAATTTTTAAAACTCAACTTGTTTAATTTTTTAACAACTTTTCCATCAATATTGATAGGTATATTATACTAAATCATATATGTATATGTCATAAATTTATTTTCTAAGAATTTTCATTGTTTGTGGTTGATTATATATATATTGTTGTTCATATCTAAACAATCAATTATAAATGTGTAAACATGACTTGTTCATGCATGAAAAAGTTGTCTATTTATAAAACCCAACTTGTTTAATTTTTTTTAACAACTTGTTCTTTCAATATTAACGGGTTATTAATATTATGCTAAACAACAAATGTATATGTTACAAATTTTTTTTTGAGCATTTTCATGAGTTGTGGTTGATCATGAATATATTGTTGTTCATATTCAAATAATCACTTATAAATGTATGAATATGATTTGTTCACATATTAAAAAATTATCAATTTTTAAAACACAACTTGTTTAATTTTTTTAGCAACTTGTTTCTTTTTGAAATATTGACAAGTTATCAATATTAAGTTAAATGAAATATATGTATATATATATATATGTTATAAATTTATTTTTCAAATATTATCATGAGTTGTAGTTTATCATAGAAATATTGTTATTCATGTTAGAACAATCATTTATAAATACTTGAAGATGACTTATTTATACATAAAAATTGTCAATTTATGAACAAGTCATGATGAACAAGTTTTTTATATATGAACAATTAATGTTCAAGTATTTACAACTGAATATTCTAACATGAATAATAATATGTCCATGATAAACTACAATACATGAAAATACTTGAACAGTAAATTTATAACATATATATATATATATATATTATTTAGCATAATATTGATAACCTATAAAGAAACAAGTTGCTAAAAAAATAAATAAATAGAATTTTCAAAATTGATAACTTTTTTATGTATGAGCAAATCATATTCACATATTTACAAGTAATTATTTAGATATAAACAATAATATGTTCATGATCAACCACAGCTTATGAAAATACTTGAAAAATAAATTTATAAGATATACAAATTTGATTTAGCATAATATTGATAATCTGTTAATATTGAAGGAACACGTTATTAAAAAAATTAAATAATTTGTGTTTTAAAAATTGACAGCTTTTTTATGTATGAATAAGTCATATTCACACATTTACAAGTGATTGATCAGAAAATGAACAACAATATGTCTATGATCAACCACAACCCACGAAAATGTTTGAAAAATAAATTTAAAATATATACATATATGACTTAGCATAATATTGATAACCTATCAATATTGAAGGAACAAGTTATTAAAAAAATTAAACAAGTTAGGTTTCAAAAATTGATAACTTTTTATGTGTAAACAAGTTATGTTCACACATTTATAAGTGATTTTTCAGACATGAACAACAACATGTCCATTATTAACCATAATTCATGAAAATACTTGAAAAATAAATTTATAAATATGCAAATATGATTTAACATAATATTGATAACTTGTTAATATTAAAAGGATAAATTGTTAAAAAAATTAAACAAGTTGGATTTTAAAAATTAACAAATTTTTTTATGCATGAACAAGTCATGTTTACATAGTTACAAGTAATTGTTCGGATATGAAAAATAATATATCTATGATTAACAGCAATTCATATTAATGCTTGAAAAGAAAAACTATAACACACGCACACACACACACACATATTATATTTTGTAATATATTAATAGATTGCTTTGGTAGTTTAGTAGTAAACTATCTTGTGCAATACCAAGGAATCAAGGGTTTAAATTTTCCCTGGGCTCCTTGGCCTACTTTGACTAGATTTGATCACCAGCCACCAGCGATGACGACTTATTTGTTGGCAATGAAGCTCCGACAGTCGGTATAGTGGATCTAGAGATCGATGATAGTGTAACTTTTTTTTAATTTTAATGAGCGATAGGAATTCATTTTAGTTCTTCAAGAACTATTAATTTTATAGTTATTCAAGAATTAACATATTTTAATGCAAAATTATTGAAAAATTATTTTGTATTAAATTTTTCATAAATAAACTAAAAATATAAATACAATTTTACATCTATTGCAAGGGTGCTTGATCTTTTTTCTTAAATATTATTTCTTTTTTTTTTTGAAAAATTCTTTAATATTATTTCTAGATCATCAAATATTTGTATTAATTACTCTCACAAAATTAAATTATAATAAATTTAAACATAATCTTCTAGAGATGAATGCCACATAGCCTTCCAAACTTATGATTTTTTCTCCTATTCTTTACAATAACTTTTTGAACATTTTCTTTATAACATGGGGCTTTGATGGCTTTATAATTAGGAAAAATAGCAATGAAGGATTATGAGAAGAAATTTATATCAATTAAAGACTAGTTGTTATTAAAATTTAAATAAAAAAAGCTCAAATGAATTGTTATTAATTTAAAATAAATTATTGTTAAAATATGAATATATATTTATTAATAAAAAACTGACATTAATCAATAACTGTCCATTTAAATTTTGATAATAAATAATTTTTGATTGATATAAATTTCTTTCAATGATACTTGATTGATATCCCTTATAATTACTTTTAACATTCCATAATATCTCATGGTATTTTTGATTTCATAACCAATATACATATTTGTCTATATGGTTTCAAACCATATTATAATAGTTCCTCATACTTACTCATAAAAATATTATTATTTCAACAATTATGCCAAGGCAATATCTTTTTAATAGCCAAGACAAATTATTGTTGGCTTTCAATTGTTAATTTCTATAATATGTGATCGTCTTTATAATCACTCTAAGAGATTTACTCATCCTTTTAATAATACATAATCAATTTCATTTAACATCAGTTTTTGAGGATTATAGCAAAAATCTTTTAAAATTACACAACTCTTTGTTATCATTTGATTGATGCTTGAACAGCTGACCTTAGGGTTATAATATTTTTAATCATCAGATCATCAAAGTAACACAAATTTTTCTTGTCATGCCATTCATTAAAGTCGCAAAGTGATCTTTCATAAGAAAACAATTATAATAAATGATGTGGTTCTTGATCACCTAAACGCATGACCAAGTGTATCATGAATAACAATTATTCAATACTTGTTTCCAAGACAACAATCCATTAATATCAAAATGGAAATTACAGTGATATCATGTATCAAAATAAATCTTGAAAATAAATCCAGAAATATAAGAATATTGAATCTCAATATGGTGAATATGTAATTAATATATATTTTGAAATTGCAAGGTCATTATTTTTTTTAAACAAACTGGAAAATATTACCACTTTATTTGGATCATACAATCTCTATATGAAGAACAATGATCAACTAGAAGTCTTTAGAATTCATTTCTTGTACTCATTCAATATAAACTGGTGCTGATAATGCATTGTGCAAAATAAAGTAAAATAATGGAGAAAAAGAGAAGAGAGAAGAGAGCATAAGCCATATAAGGATCCTCATTGTTGTTTTATTCTTTTGAAATGCCTTATTTATAGACACAAGCTTATAACTCATTGAACACAGAGTTAATTGTCGAATAATTAATTATCAATTATATTTTAAGTCATGAAAAGATGAATCACAACATTTATATAATTAGGACTTTTAAGTTATAATAGTTGTAATTTAAAAAAGGGTCAAAAGTAAAATTATTAAAGAAAGGTGCGTTCAGTATTTTTAAGTTAACAAAAGTGCATAAATACTTATTAACTCTTTTTAATGAGAGCATCATTTCAAAATCATTAAAATGGCTTCATGTATATTGATATATATGGGATGTTGAGTTAAAAAGAAAAAATACCAAAAATTTTTTCTCAACACACAAAAAAAAGAAGGTTTTAGGTTTTTTGTGGTATTTGGAGAACAAGTTTTTTGATATTTTCTTATATTTACTTTTTTATGATTAATATTAATGGACATTAGACAAATTTAATGAAAGCATGCCCAGTTTAAAAAGAATTTATGTGCATCCATTTATCACTCTTGATTTAAAAACACTGAATATTTTTGGTGAAAATATTGTTACATGTTTTTGTTCTTTTAATTTTTTTAAAAAAATGAGAGAACTTTCAATTGGTGACCTTAGCTTTTGTGAAAATTGGCCATGTTTCTTAGCATAAACGCCGACACATTGAGTTGCTTTTGACTGTTTAAAACGAGCACAGGTCATGATAAAGAAGGCGCTGCGAAATGCAATGCTAATAGTAATTTCCCATTCTCTCATTTTCTGACCTTTCCTCATCGTTTCAAAGGCGCGCGTATTTCTTGTCATTTTCTTATTTTTCGCTTGTAAAGGATTCAAATCAGAGGAATTCGGTTTTCTTCCTCCTTTTCATTTTCAATTCAAAGACTCTTCTCTCCAAGTCTTAGTTTTTTCTTCTGATTCTCTGAAGATCTTATACATAATCTTGGTATCAATCTTGGATCTCTCCCTTTCTTCTCCCTCTCTTTCTTCTTTTTCTGGGATTTGATTTCTTTTTTTCAGATTTGTATCTTGATCTGTTTTCTTATGAATTAGATCCCAGTAAGCGAAAATGGATAATGGGGATCTTGATGGCAGTGGAGAAGATGAGTTTCATGGGCAGAGAGGTCGCAAGTACCGGCCCGTGTTGGACAACGATCGTGCCGTACTTGAGATGTCTTCCATGGATCCTGGATCGTCGTCTTCTTCATATCCCAATAAACCTGCTTCTCTTAAGTATGTTTATTTTCTTGGTTTCTGTGACTTTTCCTTGAGCACCTTGGCGTGTTATTGGTAGGCAGGGGAAGGGGGTGTTTATGGTTTTAGAGACATTCGGTGTTGAAACGCGAGAAAGGGCATGAGACCCCATCTTACAATCAGAGCTTAGCTTTTATGATGCATAACCGGACATGGTTTAAATATTTTTGCTTTCTCCAGCACTGTTTGTCATTCACTTGATAATGTGGAATTGCCATCCTCAAAGGTTGTCAACTTAAGTCGTTAATGTGGGGCTTATAATGCGGATGCGATTGGGTTTTGTCACGAATTAAAATTGCCGCTTCATTGCATTGAATTTGTGTAGGCTTGGAATTCTAAGCTTGACTGGTGTTTTGTTGTGCTAGAAAAATTAATGTAAATGCGAGTGCAAATGTGGGTTCTGATGCCAAAGAAGGGAACTCTCCTCGTCATACACAGGCTAATGGGATTCAAGGGGAATCCAAATTGGAATTGTTTGGTTTTGATTCTCTTGTCAACATTCTTGGGCTCAAAAGGTAAGCAGCTCTTTGTTACTGTATACAACTCATATTCTTCTTAAACAAGAGGTTTCTTCTTATTCCTTTTTAAACTGCTGTTTTTAGTGCTCTCTACCCAAATATTGCACTCACTGGCTTTGTTCTGTAAAGGGAAAGGAAATGCCTAAGATTAGTTTTACTGTTCATATGAGTTTGTGAATTTTTATTTGGTTCTTGAAAGTTTAGTTTTTAACCCTTTTAATTGACTAATCCTCTCATGATCCAGTATGACTGGAGAGCAGCTTCAACAGCCATCTAGTCCTAGAGATGGTGAGAATATTTCCATCACAGTTGGGCAGCCAAGGGTATGCTAATTTTTGAAGACACTTCCTTCTTTTCAACTGTATCTTGTTCTTTTCATTTGACATTGATAATTGATAATTCAAATACGGGGGTCCATGCTAATGTGTTATAACTTGCATCACATGTCTTTTTATTTGATATGAATTTACAGAACGAGGTTTGGAAGCAGTAATTTTTATATGTGATCATTTTGTGTTTTAATGATTTAGTTTTATTTTGTGATTGTTGTGAGTTGTGACAAATATTTGCTTTTTGAAACATTTTGCAATCTTATTCACGAACAATGGTCCCTTCGGTATACGTTTTTGTCTATTTAATAGATTAATAGGTTCATTTGTAGGAAGATCAGGTTCTCCTTCCTATGCGAAGAAAATGGTAATATGTATTTAGAAACTTGAACCTTTTTTCCCTCTGCTGTGAACATGACTAAAGTTGTGCGGGAGAATAATTTTGGTGTTATTTATGTAAGTGTGATTTATCATACTCCTTTCTTCAAGATTCAATACTGTTTTGAATTTGTTACTTCAACTGAAAAATTACAATGGTTATGGATTAAATTTCATATAATTTGTTGGTATTGCTTTGTTTCCTTTTTTTCCTGACCACTCATTATTACCACGCAGCCTGCTGGCCCCCAACTGGGAACAATGATGGGTGTATTCATTCCGTGCTTACAGAGCATATTGGGAATTATCTATTACATTCGGTTCTCTTGGTAACTTGTATATTGCTTTAATTCTTACCTTTTTCAGGGTTAATTCCTCTAGTAATTTATCTATAGAAAAGTTTTCTCATTTTTGGGTAGTGCTGTTGCAATATGAAAAAGGAATCCCCCCCCCCTTTTTTTTAGTAAAGATTATTTTGTTATATTTAATAATTTCGTGGAGGAATATTTTTATACTTTCCTGCAAAGATGAAACAACCTATGAGTCTACATGCAACCTGAGGAAACTGTGTTTTCTCTTATTGAATCATGTTGAACCATAGGGAATGCAATAATAAACAGAGGGAGGCAGCCTAGAATCAAGCCACCAAATCCTCCAAATTATGATACTAAATAAAAACAAAGTAATAAGTCCTTTATCTAATCCCTTAATATTCAGGAAAGATGGCTAACCTAGATAACTTGGGTAAACTAGCTAGAAAATATAATAATGGGCTAATAGGGTTGGGCCCAGACCCTCTCTTCAACACTCCTCCTCAAGTTGGTGAATATATATCAAGCATTCCCAGCTTGCAAGTTAGTTCATCAAATCCGACTCTTCCAAGGGGTTTTCTAAGAACATCTGCCACTTGAGCCTTGGAATTGATATACTGCATGTCAATGATGCCTTCTTCAATTTTTTTCCTTTATGAAGTGTCTGTCTATTTCTAGGTGTTTTGTTTTGTCATGATGAACAGGGTTGCTCAGCATTTGCATTGCTAACACTTGGCTGGTGGTTGATAGCCAACTTTCAATTCTTTAAGCACCCTCATTAGCCGTATTCCTTCACATGCTCCGTTAGCCAGTGCTCTTGCTTCAACCTTTGCACTACTTCGAGAAACACAAGTTTGTTTTTTTGCTTTTCCTAGTAACTAAGTTGCCCCATAAGAAGGTAAAGTATCCTCTAGCAGATCTTCTATTTTCTGGATCCCTTCCATGTTCAGCATCAGTATAAATCTCAATTCCTCTAGACTTGTCTTTGTTGAAGAATATTCCTTTTCTTGGATTTATTTTTAGATATCTCAAGATTCGGTAAATTGCTTCCATATAATCTTCATATGGACAACTTGAGAATTGGCTTACCACTCCAACTGCGTAGCTTATATTTGGTCGTGTGTGGCAAAGATATATTAACTTGCCCACAAGTTTTTGATATCTTTCTTTGTTAGCTAGAACACCATCCTCCTTGACTTCTAACTTCAAGCCTTCTACCATGGTAGTATCTTCTAGTTTTGCACCAATCATCTCGGTTTCTTTTAATAAATCAAGTGTATATTTTCTTTGTGACATGAGAATGCCTTTCTTAGATCTTGCTACTTCTAATCCGAGAAAGCATCTCATATTTCCCAAATCTTTCACCTCGAATTCATTTGCCAATGACTTCTTTACTTGTTGAATATCCACACAATTGTTTCCTGTCAAAATAATGTCAGCTATATACACAATTAACACTGTTAGTTTGGTTCCAGCATGTTTTACAAACAATGTATGATCAGCATGGCCTTGAACAAACCCAATTTTATCAGAAAATGAGTAAACCTATTGAACTAGGCCTTAAGGGATTGCTTAAGCCCATAAGAGACTTGTGGAGTCAACATACAATGTTTGTTGATCCAAATCCTTTGGCCCCATGAGGAACATCCATGTATACTTCCTCCTCTAAATCTCCATTAAGAAATGCATTCTTTACATCTAGTTGATATAACAGCCAATCTAGATTTGCAGCAATAGAGAGTAGTACCTTGATAGTATTGAATTTAGCAACTGGGGCAAATGTCTCCTCGTAGTCTATCCCATAGGTTTGAGCGAAGCCTCTACCCACCAACCTTGCCTTATACTTATTTATACTCCCATCGGGGTTGTATTTCTTTATAAAGATCCACCTGCATCCAACTGTGGTTTTTCCATGAGGTAATTTGGTTAACTTCTAGGTCTGGTTCTTTTCAAGAGCTCTAAGCTCATCATTTATTGCCTCTCTCCACTTGGGATCTAATATTGCTTCCTCATGAGGTTGGGATTTTTTCATTAGAAATACTTGCAATAAAACTCTTATAATTTGATGAGAGGGTGCTACAAGAGACAAAATTACTCATGGAATGCTTTGTGCAAGTACGTACCCCTTTTCGAATGGCTATAAGCCAACCCAAATGACCAGGAAGAGGATTAGGTTCAATGTCATGGCTTTGCCTCGGAATTTCAAGAGTCTCTTCATTGTCTTCTTGCTATTGCTGATGTGAATTGCTTAGCTCCCCCTCGATAGGTTGACTGTCATCATCTCTACCTGCTAGATCATCCTCATTGGGATTGTTATTTGAGCTTGACATTTGGGGTGTTTTAAGACTGGGTTTCTGAGTGGTCTTCTAGTTCTTGGGTGGTCACAAAATCAGGTTTTGGTATAGGTGGAGAAACAACCAACCCAGATGACATGAGTGTTGTATGATTAATATTTCCAAAATTATTCTGATCCGTATCATCATCTAAAATATTTAATTCTCTAGAATTCTCTCCCTGAATTGAATTTTTAGGGTAAAAGGAAATATTTTCAGCAAAAGTAACAGCCATAGACACAAACATTTTCTTTGAAGAAGGAGAGTAATATTTATACCCTTTCTGATTTGGTGAATAGCCAAGAAAGATGCTATTAGGCACAAACATTTTCTTGCGATAAAACTTTCCTTTAAGTTATTAGGCACCTTACGGTCACAAATAACTCTTTTAGCTTTTCTCCAATTAAACCACCCAACTTGAATTCTATGTGAAATATCTCCACTGATTTCGCCATCATTTTGAATAATGGCTCCCAAATATCTAAACTTTTCCACTTGAGGTATAATTTGATCTTCCAATTTCACTTCCAAATTATTGTCGAATAGTTCTTTACCAAATTTACAATATAAATATTCCGTCTTACTTCTACTCAGACGAAAATCTTTCGACTCCAATGTCCTCCTCCATAACTCAAGTTTGCAATTAACCTCTTCTCTTGTCTCTGCTATAAGAACTATATCATCTGCGAAGAGCATACATTTCGGGATTTCCTCTTGAATATGTTTCGTCAAAATATTTAAAATCAAGTTGAACAAATAAGGACTCAGAGATGATCCCTGATATAGTTCAATCTTTATAGGAAAATCCTTTGTTTGACCACTAGGCGTTCTTATACTAGTTTTTACCCCCTCATACATATCTTGTATGGCTTTAATATAAGCAATCCGTACTCCCTTTTTTTCCAACGCTTTCCAAAGCTCTTTTCTTGGTATACGGTCATAAGCTTTTTCCAAATCAATAAAAGCCATGTGTAGATCTTTTTCCACTTGAGGATTTATATGGTAAATGAGGATAAGAATTTCTAGTATGCCTAGCCAAATGACGCATCACAATGAAAAGAAACATCTCTTTCGTTCATGTTGGGAAACATCTTAGACATATAATTGAAACTAGGATGACCTAATCTATAATGCAGTAACATCCACTCATTATTATAAATACTAGTAGTAAAAACCTTCTTGGTTCCAAACTTATAGTTGTAGTTCAAATAAAAACCTTCTTGGTTCCAAACTTATAGTTGTAGTTCAAATAATTTAGACCCTCGAATTCCTTAGCATTACAAATCATCCTCCCTGAGTCTAATTCCTGAAAAACATAGTAAGTAGCAAACATGTTAATGCTACATTTTCTTGTTTTGGTGAACTTAATCACAGATAACAAGTTACATTTTAAGCTTCAGGCATACAAAACATCAACTAAAACAATCTCATCTGTAATATGTACAGTACCAATGCCAATGACTCTAGTATAGTTACCATCAGCCATCTTTATATTTATCCCACTGCGTGGTATTATTTTGCTGAACAAAGCTAAATTATCTGTCATATGGCTTGTGGCACCTGAATCCACAATCCATGAGTTATTCTTTGTACTCATAACCTTAAGGGCTTGAACATAATTACCTGTTTGAGCAAGATTACCCATAGTTACCGTGTGTTTTGGCATAGGATTGTTGTGACTCTGTTTTTTCAGCAACTTTCTTAGGCTTTCAACTTCAGCTGCACCTATATTCCTAGCACTGGAATTGTGAGATTCTTCATTGTTCACTGCAAAGCCTCAAGGTTCTGTCCTTGGCTTAGGTCTATGATTGTAGGGTGGCTTTCCATGTATCTTCCAGTAGTTCTCTCAAGTGTGTCCACTTCTTTTACAGTGGTCGCACCGTCTTTTTCCCTGGTTTTTGCCTTTATTATCAGTTTGAGCTCCTTTCACAGCAAGAGTGGATGACTCAAGGTTTATGGTGATACTTTGAGTTAAGAATTTTGTGCTCTCCTCAAACTTGACAAAGTTAAAGGCTTCACGAAGAGTGGGAAGAGGTCTGGTTCCCATTATTCGACCTCGAACATCTTCAAACTTTGGGTGTAATCCAAGGAGAAATTCATATGTCCTTTCTCTGTCCAGTAGTTTTTTATAGCGATTTTGATGAGTTCCACAAGCCCATTCTTGAGTATCATACAAGTCAATCTGTTGCTAGATTTTCTACAGAGTTGAGTAGTAGGCTATTACCTTTAAATCACCTTGCTTTAGATCTTTAATCATCCCTTTTAGTTGAAATAGGGCTGCTGTGTTTTCAATGGTAGAATAGGTGTCTCTGGCCAAGTCTTGGATTTCCTTCACTGTTCTTGCCAGAAGATACTCCTCACTAATGTTGAGATTCATGGAACTAACAAGCCAAGACATGACCATGGAATGTTCTGTGTACCATGTATTGTACTTGGGATCGTCTGCTGCAGGTTGTGATGCTTCGCCTGTTAGGTATTCCTCTTTCCCTTTTCCTCTCATGAACAAAAGAATGCTCTGTGACCAGTGTAAGTAATTATTGCCATTTAGTTTGTGCCCCACGATTGCGGAAAGAAGTCCGTCTCTGCCTAGGGCAGAATCTGCCTTTTGATGTGCACCACTTTTGTTGGCATCATCACGTGATCTGCCCCTGCCCTCCAAGTCTCCATGGAAGGCTCCGAAGGTGCCAAAATTTGCTATATTTCGTTCCATTTGAGCCGAAGCTCTGATACCATGAGGAAACTGTCTTTTCTCTTATTGAATCATGTTGAACCATAGGGAATACAATAATAAATAGAGGGAGGCAGCTGGGAATCAAGCCACCAAATCTTCCAGATTATGATACTAAATAAAAGAATAATAACTGCTGTATCTAATCCCTTAATATTAGGGGAGGGCGGCTAACCTAGATAACCGGGGTTAACTAGCTAGAAAATATAATAATGGGCTAACGGGGTTGGGCCCAGACCCTCTCTTCAACACAACCCTTTGTTTGCTAGAAGAATTAATGTTTTGGGCTTATTTTTGTTGGTGCGGAGCTGTTGTTTGTTTCATTTTCGCTAGATTCAAAATAATGTCATTATGTTAGTATCTGCTTGAGCAGCTGGTCGATTTGTAACCTGAACTTAAATTATCTATCTATATATATTTATTATGATGCTGATCCTATGATTTTCCATAGATTATTCTTAGTTATTACTAATGGGAATGATGTAGAGCATAATGATTACTATGGATACCATAGGGGGGAAATTTGATATGTTACAGGGATGGGTTGGATATTATCAATGTTATTATGTGGTGACTAGTAGGTTAAGGAAGTGAGTTCTTGAAATTGCATTGCTCATGCAGTGAGTCAGAGTGGCTGCATACTTAGGCAATCTATTTTTAAAAAGAATTTCAAAATCATTTAACAATAAATAAAATATAAAAACAAAACTTGGAGGCAATTTAAGTCATGACAAAACATTGGCACCTTGAAAAGTAACACAAAAGACTAGCCAAAAGCGTAAAACCGTAGGTTCACAGTGCACATGCAGAAGAATGTGAATAATGTCATGAAAGAGAGACAAAAGTAATGGCAAATTAAATAAGATAGAAAATCCATAGAGAACCTAAACCAGTCCTCCTCATCTATATTCATATCTCAATCATCATTAATACTCTCATCTTCATTATAGTTAGCTTTCTAGAATATGTCTGAAAACAAAGATGGTTTTTTGTGTAAAATAAGGAACCTTTCAATTATAAGTCTACTTTACTGATAAGAAACCCTTCACGTGGCCTGTTATCTTTATATGTGTGTTTCATGCCTCAAGATTTGAAACTAGTACTTAGCTCTTGGATTCTTTGATTCTTGGCTTCTTTAGAGTTAGTTGTTTGAGTTCGTTGGAGACCACTGAATTTGTCCATCGTCTTGGAGAATTCTTTCAGCTGCGTTATAGTTAGGTCCTTGGAATTACTCTTTGTTTGATGGTGTGTGGTGTAATTGGCTAGAGCATAATTGCAGAAATTTTAGCCTAATTTTAGCCAAATATTATGGGGAAAAAGTGAGTGACATATGGTTTGAGATATTTTATGCTTGGAATACTTTCTTTTTTGCCAAAAGTCAAAATGTTAATACTCTGGCAAGGCCTAAATTAAATGCAAGTATCATGTTGAGGCGGGGAGGCTCATGACACAATTGAGCAGTTGTTAGGTTGAAAGTTGAATAAACATTTTATTTGGGGAAGTAATTTCCATGAAAGATAATTTGATGTTCCCTTGTATCTGAAATTCCTTTGTAGAGAATTGTATTGTGAGCGGATTGTAACTGTACACAAATAGGTCACCTATGATATATCTATATATCAAGGAAGAAAGACGTTAGATAATTTTAGTTTGTGGTTGTCTTGCTATGAGTAAGCTTTGTGATATAAAATTAGAAAGATATCTCTTGAGCAGTTCATGCCTTACCAAAGTGTGATTACAGAACACTATTGGAAATCAATCATCTCATTTCTCAAATTTTCCCAAGTTAGATTTTTCTCTTGGCTTCCTATGGGTTTAAGTGAGTGGGACTTTAAGGTCATTTCTTATTCTGATTTGCAAACAGATCCAATGTAAGTTTGGTAACCCAATCTATGTTATAAGAACTGTAATTTTACATTTATAACATTACTTTGATCTCATGGTGATTTAGTTCCCCCCCCCTTTTGATTAGGCTTTGAATATTTCTGTCGTAAAATATGCCCCACAACTTTGCACTTGTAATATATTTCGTATTTATGATTTATTTATTTGACAATACATGTTAACTGGACTGTTTCTGTATTTTTTTTTATTTTTTGCTTTCATGATTTTGAAGTTGATAAAATTGAATAACTTCGTTATCATTAAACTAACCATAATTTAGATGTTTTCTCTTCTATGAAAATCCAAATTGTAGGATTGTTGGTATGGCTGGCATAGGAGAGGCATTATTGCTTGTTTCTTTATGTGGCTCTTGTACTTTTCTCACCTCAATATCACTGAGTGCTATTGCAACCAATGGTGCCATGAAGGTATAAATTACTGAATTAAACTTGATGTTCCTGTGAGTTGACCGCTACCTTCCCTTCTTCTAAGCTGAGCCATTGTTTCAACAGAAATGATTATACTTAGAGAACATACTTTAAGCAAAATTTTGTGATTAGTGCGAAAAAGTAGTTGCTGTCATGTCTAGCTCTCTCTACAAACTTACTATTGTAGCTGAATTCATTGTGACTGAGAAATAATGCATTCTTAAATAAAAAATATTTACCATATCTTTTGATGTTAGAGGATTTTTTGCAGCTTTTATTTGTCAAGAAAATTTTCTGTCAACTATAAATCTATAATGAATATTTTGAGAACTATAAATTTTTATGAATAGCTGTTCTGTAATAATGTTGCAATATATATTTTGAGATAGCCGCTGGAATTTGGGGCTTTTTACATTGTTCATTGATGGAAATAATTTTTTTGCCCTCTGGTCTTTGAACTTTTGTAGGGTGGGGGACCATACTATCTCATTGGCCGTGCCCTCGGTCCAGAAGTTGGAGTTAGCATTGGTCTTTGTTTCTTTCTAGGGAATGCAGTTGCTGGAGCCCTGTAAGTGTGAACTATGCAATTTTTTCCCTCTTTCTGTGACTGGCCTGCTAAGTATCTGAAGATTCTAGAGGAAGATGGAACGAGGACTTGCCTAATTGTCTTTGTTTTATTATGGTTTTAGTTATGTGTTGGGAGCCGTAGAAACATTTTTGAAAGCAGTGCCTAAAGCTGGGATTTTTGGAGGTAATGTCAGAATTTGCTTTGATTTGGAATGATGTGGTTCTATTTTGTTCCAATAATTTTATTCAATTTTCAATTTGGTCCCTGTAGTGTAAAAAAATTGTAATTGAATCCTTACAGTTTATGAAATTTTAATGTAGCCCCTTATGTTAAAATTGTGTTTATCAAATTTTGTTAATATAATTAATTATATATTAACTTGTTACTTGTGTTTGATTTACAATAACAATAGTATATGATAATGAAGTAAAATTAACTCATAAATATGGCGAACTATTAACAAAAGTATAATACAAGGACTAACTTGTAAATATTTAAACTATAAGGATCAAATTAAAAAATTGAGTGAAAATATAGGGACCAAAAATATTATTTCCCTTCTATTTAATATACCTTTAATTCAAGCATGTTTTTCTAGATATGACATTCATGAGGTATTATTACTTACGTCAGAATGTTTCCTGTACAGAACTTGGTACACACTTCAGGAAGAGTATTAGCATCTATCTGTTAGAGAGAAACCTACCTTTTGGATAGTTATTATGAGCTTAGCTCCCCTTCTTTTAAGCCTGTTAAGATTTTTATGTTTCTGTAATTGTTGTGGTGTAAATAATGATTTTAAATAAATTGTGTTAATTTTAAAAATGATGAATAGTGGAGAAAGAATAGCATGCAAGGCAAACGAGTTGTCTCTATTAAATTATAATGAGCAAGACATCCATGAACACCATTGAACTTTCAGGGTGTTTACGATACTTTGGGGTCTTACATGTATTGTTTCTTCATGTGAATTGTACATTCTTCTATGTTTGATTTGCTTAGCATCAAGTGATGACATAACTTATTCTGGAACGTTATTGGTATCAATAACATAATAATGATCTGTTTCAAGCTAAGAATTGTACCATTCACTTTAAACTCACAATTTCTTTTTGTTACATTTGCAGAGACTATCACACAAGTTAATGGTACTGCCGTTGCAGAACCAATACACGTTATAAGTTCTCATGATATGCAAATTTATGGAATCGTTGTGACTATTATATTATGCTTTATTGTATTTGGAGGTGTAAAGATGATTAATCGGGTTGCACCTGCTTTTCTTATACCTGTTTTGTTCTCTCTGTCCTGCATATTTATGGGGATTTTCTTGGCAAGGAAGGATAAGCCTGCAGGTGCGTACTTCACTGGTTTGACTGATTTTTTTTTTCTCTCTCGTCTCCCTCTTTGATATTGAACTACTTTTTCTTGCACTGCCATTATCCCTCAAACAGAGATGATATAGCTCAATAATTGATTTTGTTAGGCTAAACGTGCATTTGAACTTCTTGCCATAGAGGAGAATGCCTCCTCAGTGGTGTCATGAACTGTAGCACTTGCCATTACCAACTAAGGACTAAGAAAGTACTAAGAATAAAATTTATTGAATGGATAGGGTATTTACCAAGAGAAACATTATTTTATATGATCAGAATATTCTGAATGTTGCAAATTACAAAGTTGCTCTGACTCTGAGAATGATGATTTACATCATCAGTGTGATGGATTTAGATCTATTTCTGACTCTCAGAATTAAATTAGAACTCAATATGGAATCTGAAGTGGTGTGAGCAAGTTGCTCTGCGATGCTTGATTATTAAATCAAAGTACCAAAATTTTAAGTTAGTGTGGAGAAGGCATCTTTATGAGCAAGCCTCTTTTTGTTTCAAAACTATTGTGCATATAGCTTAGAATGTGAATTGTACTCTACAATTTTTTTTTATTACTTTCTGTAATTTTTGTTGTAGGTTTGATTTGATGAATTGAAACGTATGCCATTTTTAGTTCTCTATCATAATTGCCTTTTTATTGCATCCACCTTGAATGTTGAGGTTGTCATTTTGATTTATGCTTTGCTATACTGACATCTGTGTGATGCAATGTTTTCAATTCTGATTATTATTATTATTATTATTATTATTATTATTATTATTATTTATCCCATGTTTCCTCTTGCATTTGTTATTTAGAGGGAATCACGGGATTGAGTTTGGAGACATTTAAAGAAAATTGGAATTCAGATTATCAAAAGACTGATGCCAATGGAATTCCAGATCCCAATGGATCTGTAAGCTGGGATTTCAAGTAAGATAAATTGGTTTTACTTATTTATTCATATTTTTATTCCTTTTTTTTTTTTGGGGAACTACTGCCAGTCAAACTTCTTAAAATTGTCCAAGCTTTGTGTCGTTGTTAGACATATTTATAAAACTATTCCCGAGTCTTCACCTCACCCAAAAGCTTTCAAATTCTAATGGTATCGGAGCTTTGATGATTAAATATTAGGAGTTTGATTTTTACTCCCCCATTTTTCTTATTGACACCAATTTCTGCAAAGAGATGGTGGGCAGTGGTCTAGTGATTCTCTACCCTTCGCTCTTCAGGTGGCTGTTGCTCACATGCTTGAGGGGAAGTGAATGAGATCTTAGCAGTTTGGGAGAATGACATTTAAGGCCCTCTGAAGGGAATTTATCACAATAAAGGTTCATCAATTTTACATTGGATATTATCTTATGAAAATACATACATGTTGTTATTAAAAGCTGAACTTCAACTTGTTAAATTTCTAAGGAAACCTTAAACCCTAAAAAAAAAATATAAGCTAAGGTTCAGTTTCTAATAACAGCATATACGAATTTTCACAAGACAATATTTGATGCAAAATCGATGGCTCTTATTGCAATAAATTTTCTTGAGAGGGCCTTAAATGTCATTCTCCCAAATTTTTTTTGTCTAACAGCTTAAACTTTTTGGTGAAAATGGTCATTGAGTGATTTATTTGACCTTTTGTGTTATGTAATTGTAATATTGAAAAGTTAGTTAATTGTAATATTGTAATAACCCTTGGGTAGTTACAATAATTAGGAGCCTATAAATACTAGAGATTCCTTTGTAATCCTTATGCTTTTGGCTATTCCAGTGGCTTGATCCTATTATCTGGAATCTCTCGTCTTTGTTCTATTCTTCTCTCTTTCCCTTATCTCTCTGTTCCTTCTCTCTTTCCTCTCTTTCTCTCTCCTTTCCATATTATTTTTATGTGTCATCTTGATTTTACACTGTTAATGATCAACACTAGTGTAAGGTTATGTCACCAATTTCTAGACTGGGTCAGTGCCAATTTTAGTCTGGATCCCGTAAATCTATATTGCATTTGGGGAGATGTATAGAGAGAATAATGGATGAGCATAATGTTGAGATTTGGATCTCCTACATAGTCAAATTCTTGTGTGTTATCCTTTCTCAAAATTCTTGAATACTTGATTGAAAGAGATCCAATTTATTGGCAAATGATTTCTTTAGTGAGTTATTTATTCAAACATGTTTTAATTGTCCTTTGGTTTGACTTCCAAATTATATACTGTCAATTATTAACGCATGTGTAAGGTTATGTCACCAATTTCTTCAGAGTCAGTGCCAGTTTCAGTCTGGATCCCTTAGACTTGAAAAATGTAATATTTTGCATTTAGAGAGATATAGGGAACGGAGTTGGTGAGTGTGATGATGAGATGTGGACCCCATACATAACCACATTCTTCTATGTTACTCTTTCTCTATACATGCATGAAAGTGAGGTATCCAATTTATGCAAATCTGACCACTTTTTTTTTTTTTTTTTTGGGGGGGGGATTGTATTGGCAAATGATTTCATCAATCCGTTATCTATCCAAACATGTTTTAATTGGAGTATTAGGCTTTCACTTAATGGATCCTGTAACTAAGAAAATAAGACGAGGGCTAATGGGTCAAAAGAGACCCGTTTTATTTTCTTTATATTAGGAGGGTTTGAACCTTGGACCTCTACTTATAGCCCACCCTCTACCACTAGATCTAGCCTCAAGTGACTTGAGACATTTGACTGGAAAATCATTCTTTTGGAGAGCCTGTTGCATATTTAATTTCAACTTAACTACTACAGGATCTTTAGGGATGACGATGGTTTGAAAAGCCCCTTTGTTACGTAGGAAGGTGGTTGGTTGACCTTAATGGTGGAGTTGGATTTGGATTTGGAATGGTTAGAGTTTAGCATAAGTGTTTAGGAGAACGATGTCCTAAGACTGTGGAGGAGGGTGATAGAGGCAATTTATGTAGAATTCATTGAAATGACATTTTCCCCAAGTAATAATGACGTTCTAAGTGTACGAGCTACTAGGGAAAAATGACTTGCAATGAGAAAAAGGGGTGCCTTAGTGGAATTTAAGATTAGATGGTCACTGTCAGTAGGGAAGCAATCCATAAATCTCTATCTTACCCATTCTATTTAGGGCCTTATCAATAACAACCCCTATGGATTTGGTCATATGCTTTCTTGAAATTCAAGATAAAGGCCAGATCCATGTCCATTGTGTTGGGCATGCACTGCACTGCAGGTGACTTAGGTACCACTTGACTAAAAAAATATAGTGTTCATTTCTTGACTAACTCTTTTGCTTTTTCCCTTTTTCCTGACTGTAGTTTTTTCCCCTTCCAGTTCGTTGGTTGGACTCTTTTTCCCAGCTGTGACAGGAATAATGGCAGGTTCAAATCGATCATCGTCTCTGAAAGATACTCAGCGATCAATACCTGTTGGAACCTTAGCTGCTACTCTTTCGACTTCTTCTATGTATCTGATTACTGTTTTCTTGTTTGGTTCTGTTGCTACCCGAAACAAGCTATTAACAGATAGGTACGTTTTAGTCCAGAAAGGGCCATGCTATGCTTGTTGTATTGCTTGTGCATGGATCAAGTGTACATGGTGAATCATTAAATTGCTGTAACTTGTCTTTGTATGTGTAGAAAATATAAAGCTGTCTTGTTTTGACATGGGATTTTGTGCAGGCTACTTACAGCTACTATTGCCTGGCCTTTTCCATCATTAATTAAAATTGGGATTATTCTTTCAACTCTGGGTGCTGCCCTTCAGAGCTTGACAGGGGCCCCACGTTTGCTTGCAGCAATAGCGAATGATGATATTTTACCTGTTCTTAACTACTTCAAAGTTGTGGATGGCAGTGAGCCTCACCTTGCTACACTTTTCACTGCTCTCCTCTGTATTGGGTGTGTCATTATTGGGAATCTGGATCTTATCACCCCAACAATAACTATGTTCTTCCTTCTCTGTTATGCGGGTGTCAACTTGTCCTGCTTCCTTCTGGATCTTCTAGATGCTCCTAGCTGGCGCCCTCGGTGGGCTTTTCACCACTGGAGCTTGTCACTTTTTGGTGCTTTACTTTGTGTAGGTATGTTTTACTTTTAGTTTAATTCTATGATATTATATTGCTTGTTGATCTCAAATCCCATGAAATTTGCCAGCTAAATTAATATTTCTACTGAAGCTCTCAAAATGTGAGATAGTGCTATTTTATTTTTACTAATCATCATGCACATAATATTTTAGGTGTGATAGACACCGTTAAACATAAACATTAAAAAATATTTGAACATAGAGACAAATGGGTATAATTAAGCTTTATCTGCAATTCTATTTGAAACTTTCACGCTGGGGATGATTCACTCTGGCTCAGAAATTCAATGTTGGTGATGGTATTATTTGAGCACACATCTTTTGGATCTTAATATTATGGCTGCATGATGTGAAATTATTGCCCCCTGGACCTTTTGTAGTATTGTTTTGTGTGCAGTAGAAGATAGAGCAATATAAAGAAGTCAGAGTGTATATGGGCCCACTTACGCATCTATGCACTCCTTTATATCTTTCTCCAATTAACATTCTGTCTATTTTCCGGCTAATGCATTAAATCCAAATGTGAAATTTCTGTAATACAAATACCAAGCCGGTGTTCTAAGCCAAGCCACTTAATCATAAAGGCTTGGGAAGCATGTCTAGGATCGCAAGTTAATTTAAAAGTTCTAAGTGAAGGTTCATGAATGGTTTAATTATAATTTAACCACGTTCTATCAAGATGGTCTGCTGCTGCTAACAGTTATTAGATGTTTGCTACTGTTGCTGTTTTGCTTGTGTTCATGTTGAAATTAGCTTTTGTGGTTGCTATTTTCCTTGTGAATGACTGTTTATTTTGTTTTCAATGCAGTGATCATGTTCCTGATCTCTTGGTCATTCACGGTGGTGTCTTTAGCTCTTGCAAGCCTTATATACAAGTATGTCAGTATCAAAGGGAAGGCTGGGGACTGGGGAGATGGTTTTAAAAGTGCATATTTCCAACTAGCACTTCGCAGCCTTAGGTCACTTGGAGGTATATATATCCCTGCATCTTTGACAATCAGATAAGAAATTATGACATGGATGATCTTTGGCATCATTGAACAATTGCTTTGTGCTTGCATGCCTCTCCTCGATGCAATAAACAACTTCCTTTTCATTAGATATGGGATTCTGCATTAAAGAGGGTTGAGGTTGCTGGTCCAAAAAAAGGTGGATTGAGATGAAGTCAACTCTAGGGACTTGGGCTGGTTTGAGCCTGATTCCTAATTTAGGTTGTGGCCAGTAATTGCAAATTGATTATAATTAATTGCTAGGGTAAATTATTCTTTTCTCTTGCAATGAGAGCCCATCTTTTTAAGTCATTCCTCCCTTAAAAACCATAGAATGTCAAAATGGCCTCAAGAATAGTACTGATTTCTCTTACTAATACTCCCTCCGTTCAAAAATGTAAGGCATTTTTAATCGACTCTCATCCCTCAATAAAGTAGTTACTTACTTTCCAACTAACTTTCTCTTTCCATATTTACCCTTATTAAACACTCTATGATAAAAATAAAGTCATTATCAATAGGGGCATTTTTGGAAAAAAAAGGCAATGATTATACCTCGAAAAACTAAAAAATGCCTTACATTTTTTAACATTCAATTCTTCAAAAAATGCCTTGCATTTTTGAATGGAGGGGGTATGTGTTTGTGTAATCCTCGTTTTGATGAACACTTGGTATCTATCTCACCTAAACTTTTAGTTATAAAAAGTCACTTATTCAAAAATGTAATCTTGAAAATTTTATCTCATTGTATATGCTTGTTGATAATTACAGATTTATTTTTTTTCTAAAATATTAAATTTATGGCAAAATTTATAGTTGAAATTAAATTGTTAATTTTAAATAGACCATTATGTCAATATGTTCTTTGTTTATAATAATTTTTGTTAACATATAATTGTTGAATATGCTAATTTAGAAAATTGACCATTTTATTCTGACCTAATATATTTGATATATTTTATATGATATAAATTATAGATATAAGATAAGAGGGTCTTGATTAAAACAAGGTAAGTGTAGAGTTTCTTTCAGTTTCAAGGGAGAGTGCAATTTTTTTCAAATTAGAGGGGAAGATTTTCTTTAATTTTGGCATTTGTTTGTGAAGTGTAATTTTCTTGAGAAAATACAACTTTTCATACTTTTAACATGTTTTGATATTAGTTGCTGTACTTTTTGTTCATTGCAAATCCTACCCTAAATTCCAAGTTAGAAACATGATAAATTGATTCAAATGCTGCAATGAACGTGCCCTCACTGTTCACTGTTGTACAACTATCTTATATCTCAATTAAATTAGAAAGTCATTGTATTTGCAGCAAGCCAAGTTCACCCAAAAAATTGGTATCCGATCCCTTTAATATTCTGCCGGCCTTGGGGCAAACTGCCAGAAAATGTACCTTGCCATCCCAAACTAGCAGACTTCGCTAACTGCATGAAGAAAAAAGGTAGAGGAATGTCTTTATTTGTCTCTATACTAGATGGTGACTACCATGAATGTGCTGAAGATGCCAAGGTTGCTTGTAGACAATTAAGCACCTACATTGATTACAAGAATTGTGAAGGTGTTGCCGAGATAGTTGTAGCCCCCAATATGTCAGAAGGCTTTCGTGGTATTATACAGACTATGGGCCTCGGCAATCTTAAGCCGAACATTGTCGTGATGCGTTATCCAGAGATATGGCGGCGTGAGAACTTGACGGAGATCCCGGCCACCTTTGTTGGGATAATCAACGATTGCATTGTAGCAAACAAAGCAGTAGTCATAGTGAAGGGTCTTGATGAGTGGCCTAATGAGTACCAGAAGCAGTATGGCACAATTGATTTGTATTGGATTGTGAGAGACGGAGGATTAATGCTTCTTCTCTCCCAGCTTCTTCTTACGAAGAAGAGCTTTGAGAATTGCAAGATTCAAGTTTTTTGCATTGCAGAGGAGGATGCAGATGCAGAGGTGCTGAAGGCTGATGTGAAGAAGTTTCTGTATGATCTTAGGATGCAAGCAGAGGTCTTTGTCATCACAATGAAATGGGATGCACAAATGGATGGTGGTGAGTCTCAGCAAGACGAATCATACGAAGCATTTACCAGCGCGCAGCAAAGAATCAGCGATTACTTAGCTGAAATGAGGGCGATGAAGCGAGATGACGCCCCTCTAATGGCTGATGGTAAGCCTGTGGTTGTGAATGAGAAGCAGGTGGAGAAGTTTCTGTACACAACAATGAAACTGAATTCTGTGATGTTGAAGTACTCAAGAATGGCAGCTGTTGTGCTGGTAAGTCTGCCTCCACCTCCATTGAACCACCCTAGTTTTTTCTATATGGAGTATATGGATCTGTTGCTGGAGAAGGTTCCGAGGATTTTGATTGTAAGAGGATACAGAAGAGATGTTGTGACTCTATTCACATAGGTTATTGGTTTTTTTTTTTTTTTTGGTGATTTTCACATAGAATTTTATTTTAGGACAGGACATTGTAGCTTCTCATTCATAGATTTTCCATCCTACTTTTGTTTTGTAGTTCATTCTTTATACCACTGTTCCTGCTGAATTGGATTTATTGGTTCCTATTATATATATTCTATAGGAGTTTTGAATTCGGAGCTACTTTTTTTTTTAAAAAAATATTATTTGGCCGGCAATTAACCACAAAAGCTAAAAAAAGAAGCAAACCACACTTTTTTTTTTTTGACAAATTCAACAGACGAGGAAATTATCAAAATACGACTAGAGTGAAATTCAAATTCACGCCTTGTGCTTTGACACTAGAAGAGTTAACTTCCTATGCACAAAAATATAGATATGTATATGTATATGCATATGAATATCAAAATGTATGGAATATTTAACTAACAATAGATGGATGAAATGAAAGGGAGTTCATTTTCCTCGACCAAGTTTGAGGATTTGTCCATTGTGAATATGAAAAAAAAAAAAAAAGTCCCAGGAATTTGTATACATGGTATGATGCATTTTTATGAAAACTAACACGAATTTTAGGGAAAAGAAAGTGTCATCAAGGCATTTAATTGAAAAGAGAGTAGTTTTTTTTTAAATATAGTGTGAATTAGCTGGCAAACATTTAAGCTACAATATTTTTTTAAGCACACAAATTTCTTGCACAATTCCTCACTGATATATTTTTTTTTTCAATGCTTATTTTACATATGTATGTGAATAAAATATAATTTAGAAACATGATTATTATTATTATTATTTTGTTTTTAGAAAAATAATCAGTTCAAACCAATTTACTAGTTTGTACAATTTCATGCTTGTTTGAATCGATTTCGGTTATCCCCCAATTCTGAATTGGAAACTTAGTCCAATCCATTTTTTAATCGTGGCTTAAGTCGAGGCTCACTCCAGCCTACAAGGCCCAAAAATCTTTGCATGTTTCACTGGCGCTCGTGACTAAAGAGTTGGATTGATGTGTTTGAATTTTTAATTCAAAATTTAACATCTCATATTTAAAATTTTTTATTTTAAATTCATGAATTTAAAATTCTTTATTTATATTATGTAAAAAAAATTCAAAAAAAGAAGAGAGACAAGTTGAGATTCAAAGTTAAAATGAAAGATTAGAGCGATCGGCTTACTTCTATTTTTTAATCAGTGAGAGATAAGAAGAGATAAGAGAATAGGCAAAAATGATAAAAACAATAATAGTAAAAATGTAAAAAAAAATAAAATTTTAAATAATTAGACTGTAAAAAAATATGAAATTATTTAAGAATTATAACATGATATGGATTTCAAATTTCTCAATATTCATCTTTTGAAACATCAAAACCAATATAAGGTGAGACCATTCAACAAGTCGCCCACATTCTAGAAGAAGTGTTTAGGGTTATATCCTTCTTGGTTGGCTTGTACCTATCCGGACATGGGACATTTGTGGGTTGGGATGGGTTGGGACTTAGATACCCTTAAAGACGTCCCATCCCATCGTGATATTATATATATATATATATATATATATTTTATTATATATGTTATGTTATTTTTATTGTTTATTTGTTTTTATTTTTTTATTTTTACTTTATTAATTTTGCATTACCCTGTGATACTTAGCCTAGCCAAGTAACTTGTGAGTTGTTTTCTTATAATTATTGACATTGATTTGAGGAATAAAAAATGCAAACCCAGAGTGCTGTCACTCAAGTAATATAATGGGGTTATATATCAAGTCAATGCTTGATTATTGTTGCTTATTATAATATAAATTTATAATAGGCTCTAACCAAATAGCTTGTATATGCACGTGGGCTCTCTATTTAGTTGACTCATGTCCTTATATCTATATGTTTCATTTGTTAAAACTCAATTGATTAATCATATATATATATATATATATATAATTTTTTATATGTGTTGGTCAAATGTTACTAGTCATTTAAATATACAAGTAAGTATGGCTAAAACAATTAGAGGAATTTATTGGGGTGGGATGACTTTTGAATTTCGATATTTTTTGAGACAAGAGTGTTCCAATTCCAGTTCTGTTCCGACTTGTCCATGAGCACCCTTGCATTATAGCGCCCAAAACCAACCAGAAAACACCGCTTCAAAAACTCACCGCTTCAAAGTAATCAACCTTCTTCATATGTGCCATGAACCAATCATTGCACTATAGATAAGTTAAAACCCTATAGTAATATTGTTATTGCAAAAGAATAACTTACAATCACCATCCAAAAATACAGAGATCATCAAATTTTTAGTTTCTCAAATTTATCTCAGGTTTTAATTTAATCATTCGAGTTTAATTTCTATTAATTTAATCTCTTATGTTTTTTGAAATTATCATGCTAGTCCTTTAAATTTTAAAATATAAATTGAGTTTTAAATTAATCTAATGTGTGAAGTATATTGATAAATTGATATACATATGTGCAGCTATATGAGAACAAATTATCTTTCAAGTTAGTTTTATTTTTATCAATATAATTTCTTACACTGTGGTTTTTTTTAAAGTTTTCTGAGTCTATTTTTTCACATCTAAATAATTAGAGTTATTTTCAATAATAACTACATGGTTTTCATTAATATTTCATTATATATGTCAAATGATTTTGACAATGTTACATCCTTTGTGAATAATAAGGATTAAATTGATAACTAGGATAAACTCAAGGGATCAAATTGATAATTGCTACAAACTTAAAAGACTAAAAATTTTATTATTTTAAAAACATATAAAACATACATCTTCAATAGGGGTTAGGGTGTTGCAATATTTCCCTATAAATCAAAAGTATAAGTTTTATATTTGGCATTTACATACATATTATTGCAAAACCAAATGTCTACTTAGCTTATGGTTGCCTAACTATGTATATCAATTGTGACCAAAGGTTAGAAACCATGCTAGAATAAGGGAAAATTACAATAAGTTCTACCTTATAACATATTTGATGCCTCCTTATATAGACAGAGGGAAGAGGATCAAGACAACTTCTTTATGATTACAAGAGGACAAATTGATATCACATGTTTACGTATTTTAGACAAACATGACATAAGGTAAAAACAAAGGTGACTGACTTGACTAAAGTAAACAACTTTGTTCCTAAGTCAAAAGTGGCTTTTGACAAAGATTATTACAAAACAACTAACAAAAGAAAACATAATTAAAGTAAAGAAGATTCCTTTCTCCATTATTAAGAGTGATTCGTCAATTATTGCAGGCTCTTATGGATGCATTCTTAATCTAATGACAAGTTGAGCCATGTCTTTTCTTTCTTTTGGCACCACTTGGTAGAGGGAATTTTAAGAATCGGCTGGTCCTCATTAAAGTCTATATCCATATCTTGAGAGGGTCCAGGGACATATGAATCTCTCAACTCTGGAAATAGATGGTAAGTTTAAGTCTCTATTTCATATTGGTCTTAGCTGTCTAATAAAAATGATGGAGGAGTATATGATGATGCTTTATGATAAGATTCTATCCATGTAGCGTATCCTTTTTGAATGACAATACTAAAGAGCCATTCTGGAAACTCATATTGAACTAATGGATTTAGATCATCAGGGAGAATAGGTTGATAAGGAATAGGACTGAGAGATGTACATTTGAGATTAGAATCTACTATTGAAAAATTATTCATTTCACATAAAAATTCTTTTTTACTTGATACAGAATTGTCATGTAGATGATGATGGATGATAAAGAAGGAATAAGCCTTCTATTCATTCAAGGGTTTCTTCCATAGCTTATTTGACTCAATGACTTGGGAGAGTTCCTTATGCTATGGGTATTAGTGAAAACAAATCAAGAAGTTTATAAAGATTTACCCATTCATTAATAGAGTCATAAAGATAATGCAATATTTCTAATGGAGGAAAAGCTAAGGTACATACATAAAGAGTTGAAAGGGACCAGAGGTACCACATGAGTTCATCTAGTATGGGTCATCTAATGAAAGGTATAGCTAAATAAGGGACTTGAATATCAAAGAATTCAAGCTGTGGTTGGATCTAGGTTTTTGAAGGAGGAGGTGAAGCCAAAAGAACAAACTTCTTTTGGCGAGCTTGTGGACTTCAGGGATAGTGCTTGGACTATAACCAGGAGGAATAATCGATTAACCAGGCATGATATTGAGAATGAAGAGATGTTGAATTTGTAAGGGTGTTATGAGATTGATTTTCTTTTAGGGTCTAGTAAGATGGTCTGCAATGGTGTTATGGTTTCCTTTGATATGCTGAATTGTAAATTCATAGCAAGAAAACTAGTCCTTCCATCGAAGGAGTTGGGCTTCAGGGAGGATCTTTTGGAATGATGTGTTATCCATTTCTACCATAAAGTAGTAGGGGTTGAGGTGAAAGTTAAATTTTTCTATGCCATGTTTCATAGCTAGAACTTCCTTATAAGCTATGTGTTAATGTTTTTTAGAGGGATTGAATTCACCACTGGCATGACCACAATAATGTTTTTTCCTATTTACTTTCTCAATAAGTATTACTCCCTAATAATCATCACTTGCATCTGTTTATAGAATATACTGTCCTTTATTAGGAATCTTTAGTAGAGGAGGATTCTAACAAATTTGTTTTAAATGTTGGACAACTTTTGTCTGGCTAAGACCTCAAGACGGTGGATTTTTTTTGCAATAATTTGGATAGTTGGCTGGTATGATGAGATACTTGAGGAATAAAATCCCTAATATGATTTAATATACTTAAGGACTATTGGGTATGTGTTTTGGATAAGTTTTTATCAAGAAAATTTAATAGTTCTTTAGCAATATGTGAGTAGGGCTGATACTATCCATCCTAGATAATCATTCCAGAAATTCTATTTGGGCTGCACCAATATGACCTTCATATATTGAGATCATGATCCTATATTATTGGATTACTTTATGAAATTAGTCTAAAAGGCCCTTAAGTTGTTGCTCCGATTCTGAGAATAACAGTATATCATCAATGTATACCAAAACATTATTAATGATAGGCTTGAAGATATGAATCATATTTTAAGACAATGATGGAATAATGATGGAGCAGTTTTAAGCTCAAAGGGCATAATTGTTCATTAATATTGAGCAATAGAAATGCAGAAGGCCATTTTGTATCTTTTTGCAGGATCTATTAC